ACTCCTTGTCTGGGAGGTCCTCGCCCTCAGCGGCAGCCTCTCCGTCTGGGCTGACTTGGGGGTCCTGGGCCCTGCAGTTCAAAGGCTCCTGTGGCGGCTGCAGGCCGTGGGGGCTCTGGTTCCTGAGACTCAGATCCAGACGGGGTCCCTGGGGTCTGCCCTGGCCTCGCCAGAATGCGGCTCAACCCCACCCCCTTCCAGGAAGCCATGGACCGCGCTGACCTCGCTCTCCCCTCTTGGACCGCTCTTGCCTTCTGGGATGTGACCAAATTAGGAAGTTGGTGACTCAGTTCTCTGCCCCAGCCTCACCTCCAGTTGGGCAGAGCATCCCATCTCTTGTGGGGGTCAGCTAGTCTGCTTCTAACTTAAGCTCCGAGGGCAGGGAAACCTTCAATTAGTCTCTCAATCTAGGCCCAGAAACCTAAGACCGTGGCACGCTCGGGGGGCCCCCAAGGCCCTCAGGACCCTTCTGTGGGAGTGGCTTCACAAAGGACGGTCCCGCGTCGATTTTAAAATCCACGTGCAGAACTTTTACTCGGCCACATGGAAGGTCATTGGGTTTTCCGCTGCCCCCAGTGGTGGGGGTCTGCTCTAGCTTGCACAGAGCCCCGGGTCATTCCACCGGAGACCTCCCTTTCAGCCTCCCCGGTCCGCCGTTCCTTTTACTTTCACAGCTGGAGAAATCAGGCTGGTGTGTTTCAGGAATGTGCTGGGCAGTGAACCCGGCAGTCCCTGACCTACCACACCGTGACGGTTCCGGGTCGGCATACGTTGCGCTTGCCAATGCGCGGAACCCTCAGGGTGCCGTCTAATCTGCCCCGAGCCCCGCTGCTGTTTGCGGCAAGGACCCTCTTCTAAGGGCCTCGACTGTCTCGTCTACGAAGTGAGTGCGGCTCGATGTGCCCGTGACGCGGGGGCTGCTGCAGAGGGGACACGCGGATTCGGAGCTACTGGAACAGAAGCTGTCTAACCAGAGTGCACACATCCGAGGCAAAAGGTGTGGATCCCAGATCCTGTGTGTTCAGGACCGCGGGCTCAGACGGGGCCGGCCTCTGGGCTGCAGGGTGACCCCATAGTGGCAGTGGGCCTGGAATGCTGGGCAGCTGCACGGCTCCCCCCGAACGCGGAGCCCCCGTCGCCAGGGGCCGGCCCCCGAGCATGCCCAGCTGCTGCTCGGGAGCCCAGCTTTGTGGAGGTGACAGACGTGTCCCCGGTACCCACCACACCCCCTGGGTGTGGTTTGCGGTCACCGTGTAGCGTCCCTCTGAAGTCTCGCGACATAAACAGCCACCACGATTCTGTAGATTCGAACGTGGGACGGGGCCCTGTGCGTGTGACTTGTCTCTGCTCCCCGATGTGGTCGTCCTGGGAACCAAGGACCTGGGGCGATAGCAGCGGGGGTGTTCTCCTGCCTTGTCCTGGATGCTCTGCTGGGCCCGGACGCCCCTCGGTGGTGTGGGCCTCTGCACAGCCAGGCAGCCTCAGCAGCCAGCCTCCCTACGTGGGCACTGGAGGGCCCGGGAGCGACTCTGCTGGCCACCCAGGGTAGGCCGCCCGGCCAGAGGTTTCCTTAGGACCCAGGCCCTGTGTCTCTCCTGGTCCTTGGGAGGGGGCCCTCCTGCAGTCTCGGGTGGCCGGCTCATCAGTCTGCACCAGGCTGTGTGTCTCCCCACACAAGGGCCCTCTTGGTCTGGTCCACAGCTGTCTGCCCACTCCTCCAGCCCCCCCCCACGTTTGTTGAATGAATGCATGATCGACTAAACCCACACAAAAGGCCTTGTAGGGAGTGCTTGGGTCAGAATGAACTGAACTGCTGAATCAAGGACTCTCAGGAACCTTAGATGGGGCAGGGAGGCTGAGCCAGAGACAGAGGGGACTTTGCCAGGCCCCAGTAGATGCTGGAGCCAGGGCTGGAACCCCCCCACCTCTGGGCTCTAGGCCCCCACATAGCTCCTCTAAGCTACCGAGTCAGAAGAAAACGTGTGTTACTTTGCTTTTGGTTGGATCATCATTGTTTCCAAATGCACTCCCGCAAATTGTATGTGCTTCCAGAGAAAAGTGCCCTGGTCATACCTGGAGACTCCTAGGAACCTCCACACTTCGTTTTTCTATAGGCTAAATAGGTTGCCTGGCAAAACTTGACAAATTTAGACAATTCCAGTGTGAACTCTCCAAATTAGCCAGTGTCTGTGGTGTGTTGTGTGTGTGGGGGGTGAGGGTGGCCAGCGACAATCTCAGCGATCCCTGGCCTGGGGGAGGGGGCAGGGGTGGACTCCGGGGTGCTCCCGGCCTGAGACTGGGGCCGCACTCTGGGGACTGGGTTTTGGATGCTTTAGGACCATGAGGCTTTGGTCCCAGGGGCCAGAACACTGGCCTGAGGGCCAGTTGAGAGGTGGGGCTGGGAGGCAGTGGAGCCTCGCCCAATCTAGGCTGCCCCCCAGCCCTCCATGCCCGGCACCCCCACACATTCTAGGCCAGGGCTGGCTGCCTCTGGGCTCCCTCTCCACCTCCATGGCCACCCCCGGTCCGGGCCCCTGGTCATCCGTCACCAGCCTCCTGCAGCGCCCCGCTTACCTCCTTACAGTCCAGTCCCAGACAGACCCCGGGGAGCCTGCAGACAGAGACGAGCACAAACCAGCCCTTCCCACTGCACCCCTTCCTTTCCTGGTGTTCCCATCCCCAGATCCGGGCAGCCCTGATCCTCACCCTCCCTGCATCCATGCCCCCTTCTCAGTGCTTGTCCCCGAACTTCCCCTGCACCCCACCTCCGATCCCGGAGGCCCTGTCTGCCCTATTTCCCACTCTGCCCAGGCCTGGTACCCAGTGGCCGGTCCCTAGATATCTGAGGCAGGGGGAGTCTCAGGCTTCGGGGTGGGGCCCAAGTCCAGACCACCAACCGGCTGGGGTGGGGGGTTTCAGCTTCTGTGGGCCTGGAGGCACCCAGCCTCACCCTCCCTGCTGGGCTTCATGGGGACCCAGTGGGAGTGCGGGAACCTTCCGGAATGGAATGCCGCCCGCCTGTCGGTGTTGAAGCCTTCCTGTGCAGCTCCCTGGGTCGGCAGGTGAACTGAGGAAGGTAAGGACGTGGCAAAGGAGGGGGGTTGCCTTGGGAAGCTGGCAGGCAGGGCAGGGATTCTGTCCTCTCAACGCCTGTGGGGCCACGGCCAGGGAAAGGGAGCCCATGGATGATGGGCCAAGCTACAGGCTCAGAGGGGCCGAGACGGTGTAAGGACGCGCAGAACCACCGGACGCTGCCCTGGCAGAGTCCGCAAACTGGCAGCACAGAGAGACGCAAGGTGCTTGTGGTCCTCCAGGTGCCCCATCCTCCAGGGAGGCCACCAGGAAAGCATGAGGCCCTTGTTCAGCCGCTTCCAGAAGCCAGAGCCCTGTGAAGAGCGAGCACTTGAGGTGCGGAGGAGATGGGGTGGGAGGTTCTGGGTTCAGCCTGACATCCACCGGGGCCGGCTGAGAGGGATACCGAGAGCCTACACTTCCCCATCTGGCCAGCCAGCTTGGGGGCGGGTCCCTGAGGAAGGCCCTCCCCTGGCTGGGAAGGCACCTCCTCCTTCCTGCCCTGGCCTCCTGGGTGGCGGGGAGTCCTGGGGAGTCCCTGACCCAGCCTCCATCCTCGGGCTGCCGGAACCTTGCGCCTGGGTCAGGAAGGGATGGGTTGGCACTGGGGGGACAGGACAGGGAGGAGGAGGAGGATGGGGACAGCAGCGGAGGGGGAGGGGTGGCGGAAGAATTGAACGTGCATTCCAGACTGATGAGTCAGCGCTGCCGCCGGCGGGGAGGGGAGCTGGCTGAGCTGCCCGCCCTCTCGGGAAGGTCCCTGGGATCCGCTCCCTTGGGAGGGAGATAAGATGGGTGGGGCCCAGCGGGAAGGAAAATTCCTGGCCTGGGGAGCCCAGCTGCTGGCTGCCATCCTTCCAGACTTGGCTCAGGTGCTACCACCGCCTTGAAGCCTTCTCAGATTCCTCTTCTGTCCTCTGGAGCAAGGGGCGCCCTTGGGGAGCCTGGCTTCGTTCAGCCTCCCGTCAGACATGGGCTAGTCCAGGAACCCTGGGGCAGGGTTCAGGTGGGCCAGGGGAATGGTGGGAGCTGGATGGGTGTTTTGGGGGACCCTTCAGGAAAACGATACGCCGTGCACCAGGCATGTGCGCCACCAGAAGAGGTGCATACCTTTTGCTAGACAAGGCCCTGCACCGGCCTGCCTGGCTGGGCCTGGGTCACTGCTTCCTGCTGAGTCTGGAGAGGCAGGGGCCCATTCTTGGAGGTGCCCAGTGCCAAGCCTCCACCACGTGCCGGTGCTTCCCTGTGTGAGCTCACTTAATCCTTGAAACCACCCTTAAGTCAGGGGTAGCTGCTGCTGGGCTTCACGCCCTTGGGTTCTCCCCACCCAGGTGGAGTTGGCAGTCTGTTACCAGGAGGATACTGTGGAAGTGGTGGAGGACAGGGCCTTGAGGATGCCTTAGTCTGGGGGTCACCTGCTCTGGGGAAGCTGGGCACCAGGTCGTGAGGCCGCACAAGCAGCCTGAGCAGGCAAACGGCGCCTAGAACCGCCCAGCCGGCCTTTGGACACGGTGAGGTACACGCTCTTTGTGGTGGATTAACCTCCCAGTTTGGGAGTGGTTTGTTATGATTCCTCAGGAGCCGAGGCCCAGGTGGCTCCATGACTTCCCCGTGGAACATGCTAGAAGGAGACAGCGCAGATTTGGACCTGGGTTTCCTGGGTGCTGAGCTGCCCTCACCTGGAACCCACAGCTGCTTGAGTTCTGGGGTCCTTGATAGACACTGAGGGACACCCGGAGGGCCTCTCGGCCTGGCCACACAGGCCGCTTAGACAGGCAAGAGCCAGGTGGTGGTCCCAACTCCCGGATCTCGCGGGAAAGTGCTGGGCGGGCCCTGGGTTCCGGCCTGGGTGAGACCCCGAGTGGCTGCTTCCTGCCCACATCAGCTTTGCGGGCGGGAGCCTGGACAGGGAGGAAAGGATTATTTATAACCCGTTATCTGCCGGGACAATGCTCTGTAATTCAGGGGAGGGCCCAAGACTTGACGATGGGGGTGCTGGCAGGAGCCATGGACGCCAGCATCGGGGGCCATTGAGTGCATTCACGCCAGAGCCCGACTGCACACTTAATTTCCCCCGAAAAGATCCGGTGGCTTTCCCTGTCCCTGGAGCAGAGAAGGACGGGCTGATTGGTCTGAGGGGCTCACTCTAGCTGCTGAGTTGAGATGGACTGGCGGAGGGGGTGTGGCGCTCAGGACGATGGGACAGTTTTCCTGGGGGAAGGTGGGGGCTAGGGCCTGGAGGTGACATTGGGTGGGCACTGGTCAGGTTCCTGAGACATTTTGAGGGCTGAGTCACCAATGTTTCCTGGCACATGGGACGTCTGCTCAGAGGGCTTTAGGGTTGACTCCCAGGCTATGGTCTGAGCAGCCAGGAGGACAGGGTCCCCAGGGTCAGAGCTTGCAGTAGGTCTGGGGGTCTGTCTTGGTCGTGTTAAGGTTGGCTTTTCTGTTGGACACCCAGGCAGAGGTGCTGAGTGGAGTCTGGGGCTCAAGAGGGAGTTCCGGGTTTGAGGTCTTGACGATGAGGGCAGTGGACAAAGGGACACAGGAATGGCATCCCACCATTTCTGGCCAAGGAGAGCGTTCGGAGAAGGAACTACCTCAGTCTTCAGAGAAACCAGGGGCACAACATTTTCGCTCTTTCTTGCTCAGTGTGAACGAGGAAGCCCAGGCTGCTTTTGGCAGCCGTCTTGTCACCATGAGGAGATCTGCTGAAGGAAGACGTCAAGGGGAGAAGACCATTAACACACAGAGCTGGATCCTTGATCAGATCTCTCCTGAAGCATGACCTCCGCGCTTCCCAGTAAGATCTCTCACTGTATAAGCCAGGTAGTGTTGAGTTTCTTTCCCTGGAGCTGAAAGCGTCCAGCCAAGGACCATCAACAGGCAGGTAAGCCCCTTGTTTCTATGTTTGCCATCCAACTCCACCTTCTGGTAGGTCAGCTCCATGAGGGCAGGGGTGGTGTTACCCATGTCGAGGTTTCTGGAGAGACACGTTGTTCCTATGAGGTGCATGATAAATGTCTGTTGTTGAATGAATGTGTCTTAGCGTGTTGTCAAAGCAGGACCCAGAAATAATCCCCCGTGTATACCCCAGTTGGGTTTCAGGGCCTGGTGGCTTTATTTTGGATTCTCTGGATGCAGGGCTCCCTAATATCGTAGCTGGACACGGAGGTTTGAAGGGCTGAGCTCAGCACTGTCCCAGGTAAATGAGGGCTGGTGGCGTGGGGCCCAGAGGGACCCTGAGGGGTGGCCCCGTGATGAGCCTTGGGCAGCCTGGCTGCACCCAGGGCTCCTATGGCCCGGGTGGAGGGGCTCTGAGCTGCAGGTGCAGTCACTCTGTACTGAGCGCCTGCTGCATGCCAGGCACTGTCTACGCACAAATCACCGCATGCAGTGCTCTCCAGACCCGGTAATGAATCAGGGCAGCATTTCGGCTGCACTCTGGCTCCGTGCTTGAGCACTTCCCAGGCGTGTGTGAGGCCACAGGGGCTCAGAGAGGTGAAGCCACCTGCCACAGGTTGCACAGCCAGCCGGTGGTGGAGCCATCCTCAGATGCGGGCTGCCTCCCCCCTGGGCCTTGGGCCTGGGCTCTTTCCTGCCCCTCTGACACCCCCCCAGGCAGGCGCGTAGTAGGAGCTCAGGAAGCTGGAGGACCCATATGCTGCTCACCAGAGGGAAGCTTGGGCTACAGAGGCTGCCAGCCCCCCCATCTCCTGAGGGTCACAGCAGGACAAGGATAAGATTATCTGACGTACTTTGCTCTCTCCTGTCGAGAAAAACAGCCGCAGATGAAAATAGCTTCTCCAGCAGTCACAGACAGGGAGGGGCTGTCAGGCCCCCCTCTACTGGGCCCACAGCCCTCGTCCCCAGGGAGGAAGGACACTGCCGGGGTCACTCGGAGCAGAGGTGTGTGCCTGGAGCTCCAGTGCCCCCTCCCGGATGCCCCACCTGGCCGGGGTCAGTTGCCAGGCCAGGCCAGAGCAGCCGTCCCAGGCAGGCCTGGGGCAGGGTGAGGGGGGATGCCGGTACCTTGGGCACAGCGAGGCCCATTGGAGCATTGTGTCCCCGACCGGCCGGTGAGATGCAGCCTGGCAGCTCTGAGAGCCGCCCTCCCCTGGAGTGTGGACGGGGTGGGGGGGGGCAGCACTGCCCGCCTCCCTGGAGGAGCAAGAGGACGGTCACCCGGGCCCGAGGCCCCTGCCCACTTTGGATGCCCGGGTGTCTCCTCTACAACAGAGGTGTAGACGGAATTGCTCAGACAAGTCATTTTCACCCATCACAGACCACCTGGATGTTGGGGGGAAGGTAGCCAGACCCGCGGCCCCACACTCTGACCCCGCCGTGGACGGTGGCCCGTCTCTGTCCGTTTGCGCACCACGGGAAACTGTCTTTGCCGCCGCCGCTGCCCGCCTGGGAATGGACACCGTTTCCAACCAGAGGGCCAGGAAAACAAGGCCGGTTCCCACCTGGGATTTTAGGGTGTTTCCAGTGTTTGTGGTCAGTCGTGCCCCCCGGAGCCCGCATGCGGCCGCTCTGTCGTCAGGCCGTTTCCTTAGGCCAGGTGCCCAGACAAGGGCCTGCAGGGTCGGGTCACAGCCACGTCCACGGCTCTGGGTGCCAAGTGGCTGTCAGCAGCACGGAAGCCCCCCTCCTGCTCAGCGCTGCCCCACCCCCACCGGACACGTCCCTGGCAGCGCAGCCAAGTGCCCTCCGAGCGTGGGCTCGTCCGCCTTGTCATCCCTCCTGTCTGCGTCAGTCCATGGTTTTCCGAGGAGAGAACCGGGGGCAGAGACCCAGCAGATAAATGTCTTTTAAATTTTGGCTAATATACTTGTTCTACGCAGATAGAAAGTACACAGGGGAGCCAGGAACACAATCGGAACCCACAATGGAAGGATTCCGTTGGTTCAGGTCTTTAAATTTTTTACTCTGTGTTTTAAATTTCTATCCTGTCAAATTGGATTTTTTTTAAAACTTAAAAAGTGTGAGATGTAACACTTCTGCTGGTCTTTGATTTGTGATTTGGTTTGTCTTCTGGAGCTGTGAAAGTTCTCTGCCTTCTAGAAGTTTGGTAAACTATGGGAAAATTAGAGACTGGGAATTGGCATTTTTTTCATGATTTTATATTTTGAAAACTTTCAGCCTTACAGAGAAGTCATAAGAATGGTACAATGAGGGCGCCTGGGTGGCTCAGTTGGTTAAGCGGCTGCCTTCGGCTCAGGTCGTGATCCTGGAGTCCCTGGATCGAGTCCCGCATCGGGCTCCCTGCTCGGCGGGGAGTCTGTTTCTCCCTCTGACCCTCCCCCCTCTCATGTGCTCTCTCTCATTCTCTCTCTCTCAAATAAATAAATAAAATCTTTAAAAAAAAAAAAAAAAGAATGGTACAATGAACAGCTGTGACCCCTTCCCCTCGGTTGCCCAGGCTCCCGAGTCCCTGTCTGCGCACACTCCCCCATCTGCTGTACCCCGTCCTCTGTCCATCATCAATCTATCGATCAGCCCATCTACCTGTCATCTGTCTGTCTGTCATCCACATTCCCCAACCCCCACCCCAACCACTGAAAACAAGCTGCAGACCTTACGCCATTTCACGCAGGTACCCCGGCATCTCCGGAGGAGCCGGGAGTCCACCTGCGCCCCCACGGCAGCATCACCAGGATCTGCCCTGGGTGTCGTGGTTTGGGTGGAGACGCTTCCATCCGTCCGCTGTCCCCGGAACAGCCCCCTCTGATTCTGATGCTTCTCTGTGACAATGATGTTCGGGAGGTCAGAGCAGGTGTCTGTGGAACGCCCCTGTGCCAATGTGTCCCCCTTGCTTCCTCGAGGCTGATCAAGACAAGACACGTTGGCAAGAGTGCGACAGGTGGCAGTGGGAGCTTCTCCTGGCACCAAGACCCACACGCTCCACGCTCCTTCCTGAACCTTTCTTGAACCATTTCTTGACTTGAAGTGGATTTAGTGTTGGGGGTAAAGTGAGGGTTTAAATCAGGTCGCTTTTCTAAACTGTCTTACTGAAGAAACAGGCTCGTGGTTCCGATCCGTTTGTTACACGAGAACCACGCCGTTCTGATTATTGTGGCTCTAGGACGCGTTTACTTCTTCCTCATACGAACCCACGCTCTTCTGCCTTCTATAAGTCTCTGTGCTTCCTGCGCACACCTTCAGCCCCTCGGCCCTGGCTGCTACAGGCCACCTTGTAGCTCCCCTCTCCCCTGGTGAGTGAGGCCCCCACCCCCGAGTTGACCCCACGGCTCTGGTCTGATTTGTGCTTCCATGGAGGGAGGTGTGAGCCCTTCGGACATAGGGAGGCTCTTCCATCTGGCAGCCCCATGTCTCTGGAGGGCATGACCTCACTGTCTTCTCTGAGGGAGGAGTGGTAGGCCTGCCTGCATGTCTCCACATGCACAGGGCCCAGCCCCACACTCCGACCTCTGTCTGGGCCGGCTGAGTCCTGTCTTTGTCTGATGGCCAAGGGGCACTGCAGGCCCTTCCCACCCCATCCGCGGTCATGGACCCGAGAGGGACCCAGGGTAAGAGGTGTGGGGGTGGCTCTGGGTTCAAACTGGGTGACCAGTCCCATCCTTGGAATTCACACCCACCACGCAGGAACTTGGCCATGAGTCCTGAAGACCCCAGGAGGCAGGGGAGGGGAACAGGGGACTGCAGCTAAGCTTCCTATCTATGCTGCCACAGTTTGGGTTCCCTGCCCCAGCCCTTCGATGCCTTCCATGCCCCTAGAATAAAATCCAGATGCCTTACTTTGGTCTCAAGGTGTGTGTGACCTGCCCCACTGCCTACCTCTCCCAGCTCACCTTCACCCACCACCCCCTGCCCCTTGTTGTTCCTTGAACAAGCCAAGCCAGTTCCTGCCTCAGGCCCTTTGTACATGCCGTGGCTGTCTTTGCCTAGAAGGCTGGGTCTAGACTCTCTAGCTGGCTAGCTGGCTCCCTCTCAAATAGGACGCGTTTACAAATAGGCCTCACTGACCACCCCCAAAATACGTTACTTGAAAGAGTATATGCATATCTGTTACTTGCTTATTGAGAGACACTGAGCTCCAGGAGAGCTTTGTTTCAGCTTTGCGTCCCTAGTGCCCCACGTGGTGCACACGAGTATATTGCTGAATGTGTGGGCGAGCATTCTTTAAAGCAACCCTCTGAGCTGGCCGTTACCCGGAGGAGGAAGTTGGGCCTCCAAGATGCCACACAGTTTGCTCAAGGCCACAGAGCCGGTGAGGCTGGTGGGGTGTAACTGAGCCCTGGCTCCACCCCTGGTCTCAGGGTCGCTGAGATTCCAGAGCTCTGCTGGCTTCTGGGCTGGGGGAGGCCCGCCCCCACGCACCTGGTTGACCCTATAGGGCAGGAACTCCGTGTGTCTACACTGGCTTCACGCAATAGAAATACCCTCTTAGCCACACAGGACATTTCAAATGTTCTAGGACCCGTGTTAAACAAAGGGAAAACAGGTGAAATTAATCATAGTACTGTAGTTTAACTCAATACCTCAAAAATGCTATCATTTCAACATGTAATTAACATAAAAATTAGTAATGAGAAATTTCGCACTCTACTTTCACACGAAGCCCTCTCGGCCGTGTGTGCCTTATGCCTACGGCCGGTCACTGTGCTCATTCACACGTTTCACATGCCCCGCGGCCACAGCCTTCAAGCCACCAAGTGTCCCTTAGCCTAGGTCTTCCCGCACAAAATAGTCACAAGATGATTGTGGGTGAATAGCTGTCTTACACTCTGTTTCTGTTTGTGTATTTAAAAAGGAAAATAAAAACATTTAATAGGGAGTAAAAAACAACACTGAGAATGTGTGCCCAGCCTGTTGCCAGGTTTCCCACCCCTTCTGGGGAGCCTGAACTGGAAAGGCCCGATCCCTAGCCACTGGGGCCTGGGGCGGCCTGCGGTAATACCCTAATTAACGCCCTCACGGGCACTCTTGATCTTCAAGGAGCCATGCCCACTTGGCTGAGGCTCCTCCTGGATTAACTGCCCTGAACCAAGAAAGCCTTGCCCAGAGATAAAGGGAAATGTGGTGTTTCGTCATTACAAATTGTTCTGAAATCCACCTGGCTCTGGGCAGTGGCCTGGGTCTGGATGCCTGGCTGACCCCCTCCCGTGCGACCCACCCTGGGCGCCACGGCCCTGCAGCCTCGCGTGCGCATGTGCGTGCACGCACACAGGCTGGTTTTCCTGGGTGGGAGGGAGGCTCACTGGCCGTGGTTGGGTGGCTGGCCCCCATTTTCCAGAGAGAACTGAGACAAGGCAGTCTAAGGACAAACACCTCAACAAGGCCAAGGCCAAGGGACAGAGGGCAGCCAGGACTTGGGTGTGCCCCTCTTGCCCTGTGCACATTGGGACTGGGGACCAAGTGGGATGGGCTCCAGTCCCAGAGCTTATGCTGCTGGGGGACCCAGCATCCTTCACACTCCTGTCTGTGAGCCTTGGGACAAATGCCACCCGAGGAATTCTGCTTCGGTGTGTTAACAGGGTTTGTGCAGAGGAGTCCGTGCCGCAGAGTTGCTCCCCGGGGCCGTGCCACGTCTCGGCCCTGGTCCTGTGGGCAAATGGCCCGGCTTCCTGGCCTCTAAGTGTTCCCATCTGTAAAATGGGGAGAGGTGGGACAGATCACCACTCCTTGGTGTCTATGTGAGTGAAATGAAATCATGCAGGGCCCGAGGTGCTCAGTGGGTGTCAGTCATGACTCCCACGGGGAAATAACATCACAGCAATAAGGGAGCATCGGCTGGAGCCAGGCCCCAGGCGGGCACTGGCACATAGGCAGTGAGGTGGGTTTAGGGGGACATGGAGGCTGCACACCACACAAGGTGCTTAATAAAGGCAGATGCCCCTCCCACAGGCCCCCTACTTTGCTCTGAGGAATAGCCAAGGCCCTTCCCACTGCTCCCTGGCTTCTGGGTCATGGGCAGTGCCGGCAGGCAACCAGGGAGGGGCAGACGCCCAACCAGTCACCCCAGCTGCATGGCGGCCCCTCTCTCTGCCTATTTGGAGCACCTGACTCACTTTAATTATGGGCCTGCAGGCACGTCGGGCTGCGCCGGAGACGCCTGAGATAGCCCGGAAGCACCGGCTCCGGGGGCGACCGGACATCCCGACCATCAGCCAGGTGCACCTTCACCTCCCGCCAGCACCTTCCCACCCTGGAGATCCCTGTGGCACCCCCTCCTTCCGCAAGGGGCCCTCTGGCTGGCCTCCGGGGGCTGTGCCCGGGCTTGGGGTCAGAATGGCCCAGGGGCAGTGCGCGCAGGGCGGGTCTGCCTCCCGCACACAGCTGGGCGCCGGTCGGGGATGCCCGCAGAGCCTGTAACGCCACTCCCACGCGTTGGGCATGACTGCCCACGCCTCCTCCGAGTCTGATGTATATTTAGCCTCATTATCAAATATTTGCAATGAACCGTGTGAACCGCCTAATAGCGGCTGGAAGTGAAACTTGATCCCAGGCAGAAAGAGCACGTGACCACGCCTGACCAGCAAGGATCAGGACAGGAGCGCTGGGCAGGTGCAGTAGCCCCCACGTGCCTGGCCTCCAGACTTACGGTCCCCTCTCTGGGGTGAGCATCTGCGGCCCACCTCCTCACCCAGCCCCTCTTTTCCAGGGACTAAAAGGATGCTTGGAACCTGAATGGGCTGGGCAGGGTGTCAGGAGGAACCAGGGCCGGGGGAGGGAGTCCATCCGCGTGGGTTCTCATCTAAGTTGGTGACCTCTTGGTCAAGTCAGTTCTCCTGTCTCCATGTCCAATTCTTGGAAACTGGGCTCCTGGGCCTAATTCTGCCAGTTTCTTCCGGGGACCAGGGGAGGGTGGGGCGCGTGGAGCTGGGGGGTCCTTGCCCAACCCCAGCTGGAGCCCGCACCGTGTCCTAAGTCCCCGCCCCCCAGAGGTGCCTGTGGTGCGGTTTGCCACCCTCCCAGAGCCGCTGTTGTCTGGTCACTATGACGACTCGCAGAGGTTTTATTTTTAATAGCCGCCGGTGATTAGAGGGACGCCGGCGCTGCTCCTCTCCCCACCCCCCCACCCCCGCTCTCCAGTCTGGGGGTGGGATGCACCCAGGCCTCGCCCTCACTTTCCGCCCTGGACCTGGCTTGACTGCCATTGAAGACACCCGCTTCACTCCCCTGCTGGCCGCAAACTCCAGCTGGGCACCCCTGAAGTGCCGCATGGAGAAGGGGCTCAGGTGTGGAGGGGTTGGAGCC